CTATGTGCCTTTTTTTTTCTATGTGACTTTCAGCTCCTCACAGTAGCCCTGACTGGGGCCTCGCATGTGATAAAAGTTACAATTAGATGGAAACTCGTCCCCTGCTCCTCCCGTCTTCCACCTGTCGATTCCCTCCATCTTCTTGCCCGTCTTCCTGCCCGAGGTTGTTCCCCAGGGCCCTTTAAGTTATTTTTGTGGGTGGGAAGGTTGGTCTAACACGAATTACTCTGCCACTACCGGAAGCTTTCCTCCTCATTCTTTCCCATCATGAGCCTCTGATAACCAACGTAACAGTATTCCTGGATGCCTTTTTCCTTTGTGTTCCACGGGGCGCCATAGACTTTGCTCCGCCTGCAACATCTCCTTGGCCACCCGCTGCCTTAACTCCCAGGTAGTTTTTCTGGTGAGACTCCAGTGACCCCAAGGACTCTCTCGGTTCCCCTTCCTCAGTCTCACAAACTGAGTATTGACAAGTTTGTTTCAGAAACATTGCTAGTGAACTCTGCCAGCCTCATTAGCTGAGGGTTCCAGAATTCACAGGAAATTTCCAGAATTCAGCAGCAGCTCCCCACAGTGTGAAAGGTCAGCACCATGAAACCCGGATTTCCTGACCTAAGCACTTATTTCCTCTTTGCCCCCCACCATGTCCACTCACCCATGTTTTTGTTGGGAGAAAACAACTCTAAATCCAATCTCGACAAGGAGAAAAAGTGAGACAAAATTGGACTATGAAGATGCTCAGACCACTGCATCCTCTGCCCCCTCTCCCCCGCCCCCGTCGCGCTGTGTGTGGGAGGCAACCAGTCGATGTGTCTCTCTCACATCAGTGTTTCTCTCTCCTTCTCTCGCCCCCAAATTTCTTTCTTCATTTTCCTCCCGCCCACTCAGTTCTCACTGCCTGTTGAGAGTCAAGTCCTGACAGTTGGACAGTGATATCTTCAGGGGTCAGGTGTCTAGTTACATTTCTTTGTTGTCCTTCATCTGTCTTTGGTGACCATGTCTTCCTTCCAGAAACTCTGCTCCCGCCCTTTATTGAAGAAATCAGCTCTGAGACCAAGCAGTTACACCGCTGGGTCCTTTCTGACCACCTGCTTCTTCCCTCCTCAGCTCTGCTTGCTTCCCTTCTCAGTGTAGGCACTTCTTTCTTTCTTTTTTTAATTAATATATTTTTATTGATTTCAGAGAGGAAGGGAGAGGGATAGAAAGATAGAAACATCAATGATGAGAATCATTGATCAGCTGCCTCCTGCATGCCCCCTACTGGGGATCAAGCCTGCAACCGGGGCACATGCCCTTGACCAGAATCGAACCCGGGACCCTTCAGTCCATAGGCCAAAGCTCTATCCACTGAACCAAACCGGCGAGGGCCTCAGTGTAGGCACTTTTTGCTGCCAGACCTCGTCTCCCCCTGCAGCTCCGGCTACCCTCACCACCCTGGCTGGCCTTAGTGCTGTGTCCTGCGTGCCTAGCACAGCACCTGGCCCACAGCAGGCAAGTGGTAAATTCCTACAGAAGCCACTTCCTGTGTGGCTGTCCTCTTCCTCTGGTCTGCGAACTCCTGGGGGTCTGTACTCTGCCCATCCCCCATCCCCCCAAAAACCATCTTTGTATTTTTATCTTTGTAATCTTTATCTTTTATTTACTTTTACTATCTTAGTTATTTTGGCCCAAAATAAAGTTGCTCTAAAAGTTTTTATCATCCTTAAGAAATACTAAGAGCTGCCCTAGCCAGGGGCTCAGTGGGTAGAGCCTGGGCTCGTAAACCACAGGTTCCATTCCCAGTCAAGGGCATGTACCTGGGTTACAAGCTCGATCCCCAGCCCCGTCAGGGTGCATATGGGAGGCAACCAATCAGAGTGTCTCTTCACATCAATGTTTCTCTCTCTCTCTCTCTCTCTCTTTCTCTCTCCCCCCCCCCCCTCCTCCCTCCCTTCCACTCTCTCTAAAATCCAATGGAAAAATATCCTCGGGTGAGGATTAAAAAAGTAAATAAATACTAATATCTGATCATTATTCCTCCTAAAGAAAAATTAAAAGCTCCTAGAAATTTTTATCACATTCTCAATTGATATCAAGTGTACCTTGTGGGTAAGTCTTAGAGGCCACATGAGGCCCTGTTCCTCCATCCTCGTGTATGGCCCTTCCTGTGGGTGAATGGGTATAGCGAGCGTTAACAGGTGCAGGCAGACATGGCAGCTGAGCGCAGGCACAGCAGGTGTAGGCAGATATGGGCAAGTATAGGCCAGTGTGGTTAGGCATGGTAGGTATGGGCAGGTGTTAGCAGGTGTGGGCAGGCGTAGCAGATGTAAGCACTCCGGTTCTACCTCAGACCCCCCCAGCCCGGAGTTGCTCTAGGTGGCACCCTCCTGCTCTACCACATATTCCCACTGGCAGGTCCATGTACATGTTGCTACCTGCCCTCCAACCAGACTCGCCTCTGCCCCAACATACATGGAAAAGATGGAGATGTGAACCCATCCTTCCGTCAAAGCCTCGCTGGGTGTGCTTACAGATCCTAAGAGGAGCATGGTCCCAAAACACACATGGGCTGCTTGCTCAGTGCTCCCAGGAAGCTGGCTGTTCCTGTCCAGCTGGTTGTGCTGATCACAGCTTACAGCACCGGCCATCAGAGCCTGTGTGGGCTGCCCCCCCCCCCCCCCCGACACCTCCACCCTTGGGAAGGCCGGGAAGTCGCAGATTGCACCCAGTCCCTCCCTCCAGAAGCAGGGACAGCTTTCCTCTGACCTCCGGGGTCGGGAGTTCAAGGAACCATTGCAGCGAAGGGTGTGGGCCCTTGGTTCTGACGTGAACTAACCCAGTCATGGCTGCTCTGTGTGACGCAGGCCTACAAGTACCTGGAGGAGATGCGGAGGCGGCTCCCCCCCGCCAAGCTGTCCTACTACGTGAACCAGCGGACTGTGGACGCCGTGCACCAGGGCCTGGGCATCCCTCTGGCGCGCGTCCTGCCGGAGCGGATCCACCACAGCAGCATGGAGGACCCCAAGGAGGTGGACGAGGAGGTGATGGAGGAGGTGGAGAACGACCCCTGAGGGCCTGCTGCTGCGACAGCTCTTCTGGAACTTCCTAGTTACCAACAGCAGCACGAGCCTGTCTTTTTGAAGACTTCTGTGTTTGAGCACAGCTGTAGGGCACAGGCGGCCTGCTTAGCAGGGAGGGAGCAGCTTTAAGCATCCTTTCCCCGTCTCTGGTCCTTTGGAACTTCGGTTTAGCCGCTTTACTGTTGAGGGAGTTGGTTCATTCTTTCCCATGGCATTCTCCAAGCTCAGATTTTGAAGCCTAAGAAACTTCTAGAACTTCGCAGACTGAAGACATTAATATGTTCACTGTGCCTCCTCCCAGCACCCAAAAAGGCTGACATGCATCCAACAGTTTCCAGCAAGATACACAGTTCCTGACCCCAGGGCCACCTGAGCAGACACGAGCGGCCAGTGGTGGGTTCTGTCAGGCAGCCTGTGCCCTGGCACCAGCTCCCACTGTGAGGGAGGAGCTGGCACCACGACATCTTGAGGGGAGGGGGACCCCGGGCTCCACCCACCGGCCGCTGAAGCTCTCCTAATAAAGTTTATTTCCTCAGAGGCGTGCGTCCCCTTCCTGCCCCACGTTTTCATGTCTCCCCTGCAGAGGGCTTGTGTAGGCACGGGGCCCCTGTCCGAGCAACGACAACCACAAAGCGTGGGTTTGAGCACCTGTAGCTCCTTTTTATTCTTCTTTGTTGTTTTTTTAACATAACCTGCCATTAGGTGAGGTGGGGGGCTGAGGACACAATGCCAAGAAGCCCACAGGGGCCCAGCAGCCCGCTGCTCTGCCGATCTTGGCAGCTCCCACTGGAGCACATCCAGGCCCTGAGCAGCAGCACCCTCCCCCACTCCCCTGCCGCCACCTGCAGAGCCGGCTCCTCGGGAGTCCCCCACCGAGTTCAGGGTGCTGTCGTTGGGGCAGTACCAGAGGCCCTGGCTGAGCACTCTGACCTTCTGGGCTATAAACAGCGCAGGCGGGGCCTTCCTGCCTGCACGCTCAGGACCAGGTGACAGCCCATCCCACGAGGGGCTGCACCACAAAGCCCTCGACAGCCTGGCTCCGTGGGCCTTGTGCTCGGCCCTCCCCGCCTTCCTTCTTCCAGTGGGAATGGTGCCCAGGGACTAAGGAGGAGACAGTGGGAGGAGCTTGTCTTTGAGTTTCTCCAGCAGCAGCAGTGCCTTCACGGCCAGCATTCTGCAGTCCTCATCCGGGTCCTTCTCAGCCACATCTGCCAAAGGAGGAAATCACACCAGAGCACAGCATTACATGGTGCTGAGCAGCCGCCCTCTTCAGTTGTGTTTCATTAAGTCTTCCTGAAGGAGGCCCCATGGGGCCCGGCGTGGCCAGCTGCCCTGGGCTTCAGGCACCAGACCCTTTGCTGAGGTCCCCGGTGAGAGCAGCACCTTAGATGCCAGCAAAGGGCCTTCACTGGGTCCCTGGCAGGAGCAATGCTCCCCTCCACCCAAGCTGGGAACTCCAGCAGGTGGGGAGGCAGGGGGAGGCTAAACACACCCCTCCACAAAGCCACTCCAAGCTTGCAGCTCTCACCCCAGGGAAGGAGCCTGCACCCAAGACCATGGACGAGGGTCGCTGGATGCCACACGCCTGCATCACAAGACCCCGAGAAAGCCCAGGCACCGCCCAGAACTGTGCAGACATGTGACATGAGACATAATCAGAGAAACCCACACAGGGGCTCTGCACACGACCAACAGGACGAAAGACACTGGGGACAGTGGACTGGAGGAGCTGGGGGTGCAGGACAGCTCAGGACCCTGGGCGGGACCCGGAATCTGGCAGAAAGAAAAAGGCCGTCCTTGCATCACTGGGCCCCCAAGTGTGGCCACAGATTAAATGGTCCAGTCCCAGCCGTGTGCTGAGGGTAGAAGTTGGAGGGGGTGGGGGTGGGGGGGCTCTGAGGCCGGCTCAGCTGGCTACAGGTGGGCGGTTATACTCATCACAACAGACTTCTTTTTTTTGTTTGTTTTCCCCGCTACCACAAATTATGCAGTCGAGTTCCCCACATTTGGGGAAATCACCGAGGTCAGCACATCCGGAGGGCAATGGCTAAGCCTCGCCCTGGGAAAACCACCTTCGTGATCATGTTCTCTCTCCCGCCAGGTAAGTATACAACAGACTTCTTAAAAAGAGCTTGTAGGAGAGGAGGATCGGGACAAAATATGTCAAAACACGAATAATCAGAGAATCTAGGGAGGGTACATAGTGCTCACTTTAGGAGTCTTCTAACCTTTCTGAGAATTTTCCAGAATGAATACAGATGCCATCTCCCACATCAGGGCGCCTTCTCTCAGGTGCCCTGCAGGACTCCCCAGAGTGACCCAACAATGGCCACGTTCCAATCCCCACACTGGGGGACACACACAGCCGTGGACTGGGGCTCGCTCAGCTCTGAGGATCCCCACGGTGCTTCCTGCACCCTGACAGCCGCCGGCACCCTCCAGGCTGCACTGGCCTCCCGCCCACCTTGCAACTGCAGCCTGGGGCCCCGCGCTCACCTGCCAGCCATGACCGGGCTTCCAGCAGCTCATCTGGTAGGTCTTCGAGCAGCCGCTCAGCCGGGACGCTGAGGAGGACGGAGGAGACGGCAGACAGCAAGCCCCGGCGCACGTAGCTGCCGAGCAAGGTGAGGGCTAAGCCCCAATGGAGCCACAGGCTAGGCAGGGAGACCCCGATTTTCCTCCGAGCACAGCAGCCATGCCGGCCACAAAGCATGCCTGGCCCCGCCTAGCCCTCTTCCTTCTTACTGCAGGGCCAAGCTGCCTCTTGGCCACCCCTAGGAGTCGCCATCAGCTGCCCAATTTCCACTTTCTAGGATTCAGAGCCCACCCGTGTCCACGTGGGGTCACTGCCCTCAGTCCCTGGCCACTCACGTGTCACCATGGAAGCGAAGGGCCCACACAAACTCCAGCAGAGCCTTGCCCATTGACACCGCCACCTGAAACAGCAGAGGCCAATGGGCATGAGTCCTGGCACCCAGCAGTCCCCACCTTGGCCACTTTCCTCAGGTGCAAACACTCCTGTCCCTAGGGCCAAGGTGTGGACCACGGGAAGAACAAACTGCTGGCACACAATCTACGCAAGGCGGGGGCCGTCAGCTGCAGCTCCCAGCTCACCGCGGTATTCACAGCCAGGTACATCAGGGCCCCTAAGGTGTGGGCCAGTCTCCCGAGAACCAATTGGTCATCTCCCAAAAGATCGAAGGTCACCAGAGGCCTACAACACAGAATCAGGTGAATGGCGCAGGTCAAACACTTGGCCAACTTCCCAACCTCATGGGCCAATGGACATCCCTGTCCCCTGGATGCTGCTCCTCACCGCCTATCCCCATACGGGACCTGGAGCCACATGGGAAGGTGTTAGACAGACACCCAGGCACCCTGCAAGGCTGCCTGGCACAAGCCCCGGCCTGGGTCAGGAAGGAGGGGCCGTGCACTTGAGGGAAGCAAGGCCACCCACCCAGGCCTTGCAGTGAAGGCAGCCGCCTAGCCCTGTCCCTGAAGGGAAGGGCTCAGTCCCCGGCCCTCCCCACCATCACCAGAGCATCACTCCATGTGTGACGGTGGCCAAGGGGACGTCTAGCCCACTCAGGCTGAGGCTGGACAAGGAGGCAAAGGGGGGATGGGCAGAGCACTTGCAGCATCGAGACAGCACAGCAAGGCTCTGGCCCCAGCACAAACCCGAAGTGTGACAGAAAATGTGACTCCTAATGCCCTTGCCACGTCATTTACTTTAAGCTCCGAACGACCACAGCACAAGTCATGATCCTGCTGCTGCCTAAAGCCCCACCTCGGGCCCCACCCTGGGAAGCTGCCTGTCCTCAGAGGTATCCAGGGCTCATTCCCCAAACCACGGGCTTCCCACTCACCTGTCAAAACCCTGAATGAGGGGGAAGAAGAAGTAGCCAGCCACGGAGTTGAATTCATTGGGGCTGCCAGCTGGTCCCTGCCTGGAAGAGCCCTGCCAAACACACAGGGAGCCACATGGGTGTGGAGCACGGCCTCCCCTCCCCGTGCAGGACACTCTCCTGGGGGGGCCGCCCTGTGTGCCATGGGAGAGTATGCAGCCTCCCTGGGCCCTACGGGCTGTATGCCAGTAGCACCCAACCCCATGACAACCAAGAACGTCGCCAGCCCCAGCTGGTTTGGGTCACTTGATAGAGCGTTGGCCTGAGGACTGAAGGGTCCCAGGTTCAATTCCAGTCAAAGGCACATGCCTGGGTTGCAGGCTCAATCCCTAGTAGGGGGTGTGCAGGAGGCAGCCAATCAGTGGTTCTCTCTCATCATTGATGTTTCTATCTCTCTCTCCCCTCTCCTTTCCTCTCTGAAATCAACAAAAAATATATTTTTTTAAAAAAAGAATGTCTCCAGACATGGCCAAATGTCCCTGGGGGGCAAGATCAGCCTAGCCTAGGCAGACCCCCAACACAGCCCAGACCAGGTCATCTGCTGCTGACAGGATTCCTGGGCCCTTTTTTCATACCTAACTCTGCATCCATGTCTTAAAACCAGTTCAGTTTGATGCCCTACAGCATGTCACGTCCTTCCGTTTGTGCCCAAAACTCTCCTTTCACAGAACACCAGCACTGCAGCCACCCCGTCCATGCAGACCGGGCCTCCAGCCTGCCCAAAGCCCCCACCCACGAGGACCCGACCCGAGTCCTGGCTGACCTTTGAGAACCGCCGGGTCTTCCTTCTGATCCTCTCGTCCACCACAGCCCGCCAGGTGGGAGCCGCGACGCAGCTGGGCGGGCAGGTGGGGCCCGGGGAGCCACACTGGGAAGTCCTCCTGAGGCGCCCGGGCCGAGACAGCTCCTGGGCTGCCAGAGCCAGGACCTAAAGGGGAGAGACCCCGGGCAGCCGCTGTCGATCTGGGGAAGGATTTCTAGCTCAAGGTAAACCGAGTGTCCCGTTAGCACCAGCAGCTCTTGCGTCGAGGGGGAGCTTCAGGAAACCCCCTAGAAAGTCAGTGCCACGTACCCCATAATCACTTCGCTTTGTGGGGGACAGGAGGGGAAGGGGGGCATGCTCCCTGGAGACCAGCCAGAGCCTTCACTCCCCTCACAAGGGCCACTTCTCTTCCCAAAGCTCACAGGAAAGGGTAATGAAGCTACATGTGGGTGGGCCCTGAAAACACGAGTGGAAGAAGCCAGACCTAGGTGGCCACCGGTACGACTTCCCTTATAGGAAGCACCCAGAACAGGCAAATCCACAGAGAACAGAGTGGACTGGTGGTTACAGGGGAGGAAGTGCTTGTGGGAGATGCAAGATTTTCTGAAAGCAGACAGATCTGATAGACATACAACACTGCAAATGTACCAAATGCCACTGAGTTGTAAACAGCAAAATGCTGTATTTTTTGTGTTGCCTTAGTCTTTGCTTTACTCTACATCAGCGGTCGCCAACCTTTCAGAACTCATGGATCACCAGTGGCCCGCAGACCACCGGTTGGCGACGCTGCTCTACATAACACGTAGCATCTTAATCAGCGTTAAGTGCGTCGTTCAGTGACATTAAGTACCTGCACGCTGCTGTGCAACCATCACCACCAGCCACCTCCAGAACTGGTTCAGCCTCCCAAAATGACCCTCTGTCCCCATTAAACACTAACTCGCCCCCTCCCTCAGCCCACGGCACCCACCATCTACTTTGTCTAAGACTTTAACTCCTTAAGATCTCATGTATGTGTAATCATACAGTATCTGTGTTGTGTCTCGCTTATTTCACTTAGGAAAACTACTTCCCAACGCATCCACACTGCAGCAGATCACACAGATGCTGGTCTCAGGCTCAGGTCCAGTGACAGGTACTCAGGAGGCCTCTGGCTCTGCCCAGGTAGATTTTGGCAAACACCAGCTCCCTGGCGTTGCACCAGGCCTGGCCCCTCCCATGAGGGCAGCTTGGGCCTGACAAGTGGGACAGGGGCCCCAGGGCACTCACGTCCAGGATGTCCATGCGCTGCCGGAGGCTGTAGTTGATGGCGTAGAACTGTGAGGTCAGATACTCCGCCACCTGAGCCAGGCAGATGAGAGGTCGCAGTGGATCACAACTCCAGAGGTAGGGCCCCCACGCAGACACTAGCTGGGGGGGCACAACCCTGGCACCCCATAGCCAGCGGGACTCACCCGGGCCGGGTCTGTGACGGTGACGGCCACCAGGGCTCTCTGGCGCAGCCCCTCAAATCCCGCCACGCTCGTCTTCTCCTCCAGGTGCAGGAGCACCTGCGCTAGCTCCACACTCACCTGCGAACAGGTCAGGGCGCCTTCAGCCCCCGGGCCTGCCCCAGGTCCCCCACAGTGTTCCGTTTCTCTACAATGGAAGGGACACCTCTTGGACAGCCTGGGACCCTGTTCTCCACCTCCCATCCCAGCAGAGGCCCCAGACACAGGCCTCCTAAGGGGACAGAGAGCCAACGAAACATACAACACGAGCCACACCAGGCTCCGAGGGCACTGCTCACTCCCATGACCCTGCCGGCCCAGTCCCTCTACCTGCTCACCTCCCGAGTGGCAGCCGGGTTCCTGACGACCAGCCCCTCAAGGGCCCGCAGGGCTGCCTCCCAGCGCTCCCAGTCCTCGGATGTGGTCAGGGCTGAACCAAAACAGGCCTCCATCATTCCTTGGCCCTGACCTTGACCACAGCAGAGCCAGCAGCCAGGGTCTGGGCGCTGGGCAGAAGGCAGGTGAACCCCCAGAACATGAACAGATCCCATGGACCAACCATCCCAGGGCAGGGCTGTGCTTGGGGTTGGGGCCTTGCCACAGGGCACTCAGCAGGGACCCATGCCATGTGGAGAGGCCCACCTTCCATGCAGTCCCGGACGTACATGGGCACCTTGCCACTCTTCAGCTCTTGGTCCCCCGACATGTCATAGGGAACAAATTCATCATCGCTGTGGAAGAATCACAGACATGAGGAGCCTGCTGGTCACCCAGGAGCAGAAAGCAGGCAGGAGGGAGTGCCTGAGAGCTGAGGCTGGGCACCCTCCACCAACAGGACAAGCTCCTGAGTCACCAAAATTCATGTCCCAGGCCCTGGCCAGGTAGGCCAATTGGTTAGAGCGTCATCCTGATGTCCCGACATGCCAAGGTTGTGGGTTTGATCTCCAGTCA